CTTTCACCACTACTTCCTAAGGTCTGTATTAGTGGGCAGCTGGAATCAGGAGTGGAGCCCAGGTGTTAAACCCAGGCACTGCAGTGTGGGCTGTGGGCATCACAATCGGTATCTTGACTGCTAGCCAGCTGCCCAGCCCCTCCTCAGTGTTTTTTTTCCCCTGTAATAATGGCTACAAGCAAACTTGTTTATCAGTGTTGCTAAGAAGCCTAATCAATAAGTATGTCTGTAAAAACATTTTCAGGATGTTTATTAAATGTTCCAGTCACCAGGAATGCAAAAGTAAGACATCATGTCTTTCATATAGCCTATAATTTATATTATAGAACTTAAATTTCCTAACTGTAGGGCAGTGAGTTAACTGTTGAGAATTAGTGGCTCTGAAAACATTTGAGAATATTTAGGCTGGAGTGGGATAGAACTTTGAATCAGATTTTGGTACTTGCTGTAAAGTTTAAAATCCAACCCCCCAGTTCTAAATTGATATTATAAGTACAACAAAGGAAAGGACGCACAATTGAGTAACCAGTGGGTCTCTAAACATGACAGATTCATTTTGTAGAAATTTCAAAATATGGTCCTAGAATGTATTCTTCAATAGAGATTAAGACACTTGTGTTTGTGTGTGGTATTGGAACTATGATTTTAAACCTATAAACCTAGTAAAATAGTAAGAGCTAAATAACAGAATTGTCCCCTTTCAAATGGTACCTCCAACTCACCTGCAGAATCTTTGTAAGATCTCTAAATACTGGGCTCTGCCTCACGCTTAGTGAGTCTAAATCTAAACCCCTGTGCAAGCATTTATATACTCACTTAGAACTTCTGGGACCCTTTTTGCTAGCCTTGTATCTTCTCAGGATGGAGAAAAGCAAGAGCCAGAAACGTTAGGTGACATTCCAACTCTTTTCACTGGAAACTGGCAAAAATGTAGTGATCCTAGCACGTGGTTTTGGTCTCATCTGCCCTTTAAAAAGGAGTGTTATTATTGTCTGTCATGCCTGCAAAAATGAATGGGCCTCTTTAAAATAATGTATTTTTAATAAATATGGTGTTGTAGAAAGAAATTCTGAGTTTCTCAGGCAAGTCTGGAACTGTTATAATTACTTACATATTCTTACTCCATAGAGCATGATTTGAAAACTGGTTGTTAGATTATAGGAGTTGAAAGAAAATATTGTACAAGTTAAATTTTAATGATGCATTAGAAATTATTAATTTTGTCAGTAAGTAGAAAAAATTGGAAGTGAAGTTCCCATAGTAATACTATGTTTGTCCTCATATCACCCTGCTGAACTGTGTGATTAATACTTTCCCCCTGATAACCACAGAAGTACATAGGATTCTTCCTGTATCACTGGGTATGAACTTTAATGCTGCTTTTGGCAAGCTGTGTAAATATGTGGTCTCAATATGTATCTTTGGTTTGAACTTTATGCTTTCTGTTCCTGCCAAACTTTGTCCTTGCTGTAGTGTCTTGCTGCATCTGTTGTAAACCCTTCCTCATCCTCTACTCACTGCCAGAAATGTCACTGCTCTGAAATATCTTTGTCATTTTGCATCTGTATTCCTGGCATTCTCCATTATTTTACTGGGTGTAACTCAAGCTGTTCATTTTTTCTCAATACAGTTTCTATTAGTTTTTGTTATTATTTTGCAAAGTCAAAAGATGTTACCACCTAAATACTTTTTTTTTGGACAGGCAGAGTGGACAGAGAGAGAGACAGAGAAAAAGGTCTTCCTTTTCCGTTGGTTCAACCCTAATGGCCGCTGTGGCTGGTGCACTGCACTGATCTGAAGCCAGGAGCCAGGTGCTTCCCCTGGTCTCCCATGGGGTGCAGGGCCCAAGCACTTGGGCCATCCTCCACTGCCTTCCCTAGCCAAAGCAGAGAGCTGGCCTGGAAGAGGGGCAACCGGGACAGAATCTGGCACACCAACCTGGACTAGAACCTAGGGTGCCGGCGCCGCAGGCGGAAGATTAGCCTATTGAGCCGCGGCGTCGGCCACCACCTAAATACTTTGATAGCTCAATGTCTTCTCCTTTGAAGCCAGCCCTTATTCTGAAATAAAACAGATATTAAGGTTGATTTATCTTGATAAATTCTTCCAACTCCTTGTAGTTGTGGCCTTCACGTAGATTGTTAGTCCCCCACCCCTCCTTCTTCCTAACTTTTATTTAGTATCTTCTCTACATTCTGGACTCTGTTAGATTCCAGAGATATAAGAATGAACAACTTTCTGAGCCATATACTTGTTTGCATTTTTTCCCCATTTTAAAAGATTTTATTTATTTATTTGAGAGGTAGATCTACAGATAAAGGGAGAGACAGAGCGAAAGGTCTTCCATTCGCTGGTTCACGCCGCAGATGGCTGCAATAGCTGTAGCCAGGCCATTCTGAAGCCAGGAGCTTTCAGGTGTCTCACACGGATGCAGGGGCCCAAGCACTTGGGCCATCTTCTACAGCGTTACCATAGCAGAGAGCTGGGTTGGAAGAGGAGCAGCCGGGATGCTAGCTGGTATCCGTGCTGCAAGTGGAGGCTTAGCCACTGTGTGCATATTTTAAAAATGTCTCGTTTTTATTCATTTACACAAGTATTGAACTGAACACATAATATATACCAGGCGGTATCCTAGCACTGGTATAAAGCAGAAAAATAAACTGGCAAAGTCTCTACCTTCAAGAACCTTATATTCTTTTGGTGGAGCGATAAGAAGAGAATATATAATAAAAAATATGTAGTACATCATATGGTGATGAGTGTGATAGAGAGAAAGTGTAAAGGGAAAGCTGTTGCCTGGAAAGAAGTGTGTAAATATGTAGGTTTTAAAGAGCATCGATCTTACTCACTAGGGCTTTACCCTCATGACCTAATGACCCCCCAAAGACCCTACTTCATACCATCACACTGGGACTAGGGCTTTGACATACGAGTTGGAGGAGGGGAGAACACATCAGTCTACATCAGTAGGTAAAGACCAGACCATGTGGTTATCTGAGGGGAGAATGTCAGGCAAAAGCAGCGACAGTGCAAAGGCCCTAAGGCTGGGAAGTGTTTCAAAGGAGCCAGTGTCAGCTGGGAGTGAGTGGGAGGCAGGGTGGTGGAGTAAAAAATATCAAGGGGCTTGTGTCCTGTAGGCCTTGGCAGACCTTAGTAAGAATGTAGCTTTTACTCTGGATGAGATTTGTGAAGTCAGTGTAAGGTTTGTTTGATAACAGGAAAAGGAGTAATGTGATCAGACTTATTTTAAAAAGGTTGCTTAGGTTGGTTATATATGGGCCAAGGAGCATGTGGAAAGATCTTTCGGAGTCCACTCTGGTAATTCAGTTTCAAGATTATGGTAGTAGGACTGTGGAGTTGGGAGGTACTATTAGGATATTGGATATATGAGAGATCTAGTTTGTGGAAAATATGTATTTATATATATATATATATATATATATACACACACACACACACCCCCACACACACACCCTATGCATTGATTTCAAATTTTTTGCACCAAAATAGACTTATGTTTTAATTCCATTTTCCCACAAACGTCTTGAAGTACCCTTGTTCTTTGAAGATAGACCCAGTGGTGTTTATTGATTGATGAGATGTGAATGAGAAGAATCAGGGATGACCCCCAAGATATTTGGCTTAAACAAGTGGAAAGATGGAATTGCTTTTACTGAGTTGAAGAAGGCTGGCAGAAAAACAGGTTTGATGGGAAAATGGGGATTTGAGGTTTTGGGTGCTGTTAGGCAGATGAAGTTGCCCCAAAGGCTTTGATAATTATGTTTGTTGGGTTTAGAAACAAAAGTAACTCAGTGATTCCTGCAAGCTTCCTGTGTGTATTTGCTTTTGTGATATATAGCACCCATTACTTCTGAGATTCAGTTTTTTATTGGAAAACATCCTCTGGTACTAGTGTGTTACTCTTCGACACAAATGCTGTTTGTGTATAAAGGTTCTAGATTCAAACTTGCTTTCCATCACAAACTGTTTAAACTAGAGTTCTAAAAGCAAAGGCAGAAAATAAGTGATAAAGTTTCCAGTGTTACAACTGAAATCTTCTAAGTCAGTGGACCCAAAGCAAGTAATAAGCAAGACAAATGAAGACCCCATGCAGAATACCACATGATGAAATTTTATAACTCCACACATTAAAAAATGTATCCAAAAGAAATTTCACATCAGATTCCAGAAGGACCATCAGCTAGCCAAACTTTGTTTATGCATTGGATGCTGTGACTCAGTGACAGGATGCCTTCAAAACAGTACAAAGGTGCTTTGAAGAGTTTGTGGAAAATGTAATTCAAAGATTGTCTATGTGTAAAAATTTTTGAAATCTTTGCAAAAAGTTTGTGGAAAAGACATGTTATAAAAAAAACTATACATGCATTCCAAAATTGTTTTGTAGCAAAATAAACTTTATATTTCATTTTTTTCCATGAACTTGTAGAGGTACCTCAATATGTGAAGTATCAGAGTTGGAGGGTGAAATTTTAGAGAGGGTGACCAGGAACAGCCTTTTGAGTAAAAATCTGGAGGATGTCAGGGAGCATCCCAGGCAGTGGGAAGATGTGTGCAGGGGGCCTGAGGCAGAACAGCAAGGGGCCAGCATTCCTGCAGCACAGAATGCTGAGAGGTGAGCAGCGAGGGTGAGTGGTAGGAGGTGAGCTGAAGGGGGCAGAATGGCTTTCATCATGGAAGGGTTTGTGGATCATCCCAAAGACTTCACCCTTTACTGAATTAAATGAAATCTATCGATCGGTTCTGAGCAACATAATGATGTGATCTGATTTACACTTCTCCACTATAGTGATTTTTTTGTGTTAAGAAATGCCTGGGGAACAAGGGCAGGGCAGGTTGGTTAGGAAGTTACTGTAATAATCCAGGGGAGGATTCACAATGGCTCCTGTCAGAGGAGTGACCGTGAGGGTGATGGAAGGTAGTTGAATTCTGAATCTCTTCCGAAGCTGGTACTGGCAGGATTCACTGTAGATCAGGGGGGTGGGGGTGGGGTGCTGGATAGAAGGGTGGGGTAGCATGATACTGAGCGACTCCTGAATAGAATTACTGCAGATGGAACTGTAGCAGGCAGGGGAGTGGGAGCAAGAATAGAGAAACTTACCTTCAGACATGTTTTCAAACTCTGATCTTCAGTAGCCTTAAAAGTGAAAAAAGGGTCTCAATTTTAACGTCTTTCTCTTTTTGTCTCTCTATTTATTTGAAAGGCAGAGTTGGAGGAAGAAACGGGGAGAGCTACCTTCCATCCTCTGGTTCACTCCACACTTGGCCACAATGACCAGGGCTGTGCCAGGCTAAAGCCAGAAGCCTGGAACTGCATCTTGGTCTTTTCCCATGGGTGCAAGGGCCTTAGTACCTAGGCCATCTTCCACTGCTTTCCCAGGCACTTTTGCAGGGAGCTGGATCAGAATTGGAGCAGCTGGGAAGTCTAGCCAGCACTTACATGGGATGCCAGTGTTAACAGGTGCCCTGAGCCACAACTCCAGGCTCCTTGTTTCTCTTTTTATAAATGAAGTTAAGCATTTGCATTTGTTTGTGTGACCTACCTGTTTCAATTAATTAATATTTTTTTCCTCTTGTGTGACTTTTTTCTTTTGATTTGCAAGAATCATTTTTATAAATTTATGAAGTAGCCCTTTGTGCTGTTTACAAATACCATCCCACCTATTTGGAAGGATATTTTTTTCTTGAAACCTTGTTGATGAGTTTTTGTACAATTCAGAATTTGTTTTAAATTTATATTATTAAATTTATCAGTGTTTTTTGTAATGCCAAAGTTTGTTTCATACTCAGGCTTTCACTCTAACATCATTAAAAATTGTATCTTTTGCTAGTACTTTTATGATTTTACTAGCATTTAAGGCTGTAACTCGTCTGGGTATTAGATGCTGCTTGAAGTGATGGCTTTGTTGAAAGGATGCTCTGGGAAGTCAGGTTGCAGCTGCGAGTCTCAGTGCTCCCCAGAGCTGGGACAAACAGCAAGGCTCTGGAAGAGCTATGACAAAGGGCGCTGGCGTGGTAACAGCCATCCACCTTTTCTCAGCCTTCTCACAGTTATCCTCCTGTGGGAGGATGTGATTGGCCATTGCTGGTGTAGGTCAGGGCAGTAGTTTCTTTCTTTCTTTCTTTCTTTCTTTCTTTCTTTCTTTCTTTCTTTCTTTCTTTCTTTCTTTCTTTCTTTCTTTCTTTCTTTCTTTTTTTTTTTAAAGATTTATTTTATTTATTGAAAGAGTTGCAGAGAGAGAGAGAGAGAGAGAGAGAGAGAGAGAGAGAGGTCTTCCATCTACTGGTTCACTCCCCAAATGGCCAAAATGGCCAGAGCTTGCCAGGAGCTTATTCTGGATCTTCCACATGGGTGTGGGGCCCAAGGACTTGGGCCATCTTCTACTGATTTTCCAGGCCAATAGCAGAGAGATGGATTGGCAGTGGAACACCTGGGACTCGAGCCAGCGCCCATATGGGACTCTGACACTGCAGGCCAGGGCTTTAACCCGCTGTGCCACAGCGCCAGCCAAAGGCAGTAGTTTTCAAACTTCAGAATTATATCAAATTCACCTAAATGACTACTGCTACTACTTTTTTTTTTTTTTAAGATTTATTTATTTATTTATTTGAAAGTCAGAGAGAGGGACAGAGAGATCAGTCTTCTAACCACTGGTCTACTCTCTAAATGGCCACAATGGCCAGGGCTAGGCCAGGCCGAAGTCAGGAGCCAAGAGCCCCCTCCAGATCTCCCATGCAGGAGCTCAAGCGTTTGGACCATCTTTCACCACTTTTCCCAGGCCACCAGCAGGTGGCTGGATTGGAAGTGGAGCAGCTGGGATCCGAACCCACGCCCATATGGGATGCTGGCATTGCAGGCAGTGGCTTTACCTGCTATACCATAGCACCAGCCCCCTGGATGGCTTCTTAAAACACAGACTGCTGAGTCCCGTCTCCGGAGTTTAATTCTTGCTGTCTAGAGTAGAGCCTGAGAATGTTCATTTTAGCAAGTTCCAAATGATGCTGATGGTCTGACAACACTTTGTTCTAGGAGTTCCAGGCTGAAGCTCTGGAATCAAGATTTGTGTTCATATCCTTGTTCTAGTATTTATCAACTCTGTGATTTGGTGTACTTTCTGAGTGTGCTTCCCCTCTTCCCCTCGCCACAGTTTATTTCCTTGAACTCGGGATTTGTAGTTCTTTGAATCACTGTGAGGACAAAGAGTGGTTTTGAGATAGTACATACCTGAGTCCTTGTGTAATACTGCTTTTATTGAGTTCTCTTTTTGGTCAGAATGCCTAAAGTGTCCAGTAAAAATGTATGTGCAACGTATAATTTAAGAATTTGTGGTGACCGCATTAATAAAAGTAAGCATTTGGCTTACTAGTTAGGGTACTGGCCTCCCACATCGTTGTACCTGGGTTTAATTCCTAGCTCTGGCTCCCGACTCCAGCTTCCGGTTCATGCATACACTGAGAGGCAGTGGTGATGGCTCAAGTAATTGGGTTCCTGCCAACCATGTGGGAGACCAGGACTGAATTCCTGGCTCCTGGCTTTAACCCTGCTCAGCCTTGGCTATTGTGGGTGTTTTGGGGTTGAATTAGTGGGTGGGAGCTCTGTCAAATAAGTAAGTAAGTAAAAACAGAATAAGTTGAAATTTAGTAATTTTAACCCAACATTTGTGAATGATTATTTCAATATTTGATCAAAATAAAATTGAGATTTTAAATGGTGTTTTCTTCCTGTCAAGTCTTTTAACTTAGTGTACATTTCAATTCAGAGTAGTTAAATTTCAAGCATTTAATAGCCCACTTACTGTAGCCAGTGACTACTCTTTCAGATGGTGCCAGTCTACCCAGCACTCTTCACCCTGTCCTCTTGACCACCCCCATGTGTTAAACCTTTGGGTAATGATTCTTGGTCTAATTAGTTATAAACACGGAAATCAGCTTGTTTCACTTAATGCAGAAAGAATGACCCTTAAGGAATTCTTGAGCTGATTTTAGGCTTGTCTGTCTCTTAAAAGTTCTGTCAGTGACAAGAGTTTGTGTTCTTGGGAGTCAGCTCTGCCAAGGATGCCATGCCACTTACAACCCAACGTCCCCCCCCCCCTTTTTTTTTTGACAGGCAGAGTTAGATAGAGACAGAGAGAAAGGTCTTCCTTTTTCCATTGGTTCACCCCCCAAGTGGCCGCTATGGCTGGTGCGTTGCGCCGATCCGAAGCCAGGAGCCAGATGCTTCCTCCTGGTCTTCCATGCGGGCGCAGGGCCCAAGGACCTAGGCCACCCTCCACTGCCCTCCCGGGCCACAGTAGAGAGCTGGACTGGAAGAGGAGCAACCGGGACAGAATCCGGCGCCCCAACCGGAACTAGAAGCTGGGGTGCCGGCACCACAGGCAGAGGATTAGCCTAGTGAGCTGCGGCGGCTGGCCCCCAATGTCCTTTGAAAGATTTCCTTTAAGTTCTCTAGGCTTGAGTAGTTCCCACTGGAAGAGGAGTGCTGGAAACTCCCAGGAGTATAAGGAATATCACTGTCTGATTCTTAAAAGTTAATCATTCTCGATATCGTTAGTTTCCAGAATTCAGCCTCTGACTCACTGGAGAAGTATTTTCCTTCTATGTGTCTGTGGACTCTTTTGTGATGGAGTCTCCTTTCAGGCCTTGCAATTACTTTTTTTTTTTTTTTTTTTTGAAGATTTTATTTATTTATTGGAGAGGTAGAGTTACAAAGAGGCAGAGACAGAGAGAAAGGTCTTCATCTGCTGGTTCACTCCCTGGATGGCTGCAATGGCTGGAGCTGAGCTGATCTGAAGCCAGGAGCCAAGAACTTCTTCTGGGTCTCCCATGTGGGTGCAAGAGCCCAAGCACTTGGGCCATCTTCCACTGGCCTTCCCAGGCCATAGCAGAGAGCTGGATTGGAACAGGAGCTGCTGGGACTCGAACCAGCACCCATATTGTGGTACCACAGGCAGAGGATTAACCTACTGTGCCACAGTGCCAGCCCTTTACAGTTACTTTTTGACAAATAGGCTTCTCCAAACAGCTCCTGTGCCAGTTGTTTGTTACCACTTTGTTTCAGTGTAACCATGCCTGGTCATTGCAACGATGTAATTTTAAATAGGGAAAAAGTTTCACATACCCCTATTTCACTGGGCCATAACATAATTTTAAAGGTATGTGGTGTGCTTTCGTCTTCTATAAGCATTTAACAAATCTATGAGTACCCACTATCTGCCTGGCATTCTTTTTTTTTTTTTTTTAAAAGATTTATTTATTTATTTGAAAGTATACATAAAAAGAGAGAACTTCCATCCGCTGGTTCACTCCCCAATTGGCCGCAATGGTTGGAGCGGCGGCAGTCTTAAGGCAGGAGCCAGGAGCTTCCACTGGGTCTCCCATGCGGGTACAGGGGCCCAAAACTTGGACCATCTTCTGCTGCTTTCCCAGGCCATAGCAGAGAGCTGGATTGGAAGTGGAGCATCTGGGACTGGAACTGGCACCCATATGGGATGCTGGCACTGCAGGCGGTGGCTTTACCCTCTACACCACAGCGCCTGCCCCAGTAATTTTCTTATTCTTTTTTTTTTTTTAAAGATTTATTTTATTTATTTGAAAGAGTTACAGAGAGAGGTAGAAACAGAGAGAGAGAGAGAGAGAGGTCTTCCATCTGCTGGTTCACTCCCCAGATGGCCACAACGGCCGGAGTTGTGCTGATCTGAAGCCAGGAGCTTCTTCCGGGTCTTCCACGTGGGTGCAGGGGCCCAAGGACTTGGGCTGTCTTCTACTGCTTTCACAGGCCGTAGCAGAGAGCTGGATTGGAAGAGGAGCAGCCAGGACTAGAAGCAGTGCCCATATGGAATGCTGGCGCCTTAGGTGGAGGAATAACTACTGTGTCTCGATGCCGGCCCCATCTTTATAGATCTCTGTTGGAGTTTCATGTTTTTTGGATTGTTCTCAATCTTTTGATTTTTACTTAGAGAAAGAAAGCAACTTAATAAACTCACACCAGAAAGATTTTTGGTTATTAAGTTTCTTATATTTGTTCTGTATTCTTTTTCTGCTTAACATTGGAATATAGACATAGAAATGTTAATTTTCTTGCCTGTGATGACCAACAATGTTTGAAAACTCCTTTAAACTAATGAATGAGCACTGTAATTTGCCTTTTTTAGAAAGTGTTTTACTACTCTTACTTGTTTTCTTTAAATTGATTGGGGTTATTATTTTTACTTATGTAATAAGGTTTGGGAACTATGTTGTTTCTTAGACTAGGCTTTTAAATTCACTCACCCTTGAAGGTCCATCTTTTGAATTTATATTTCTAGGCAGTATTTCCTGTGCTTAGGAATAAAAGACTTTTATATTTGTGCTGCCTATCATGTATAATTTATCATCTTTTGCTGCTGAGAGAAATGTAATGATGATGTGGGTGGTTGGAGACAAAGCACAGTACTACAGTGGGTAGGAAGAGGGGAGCCCTCATTTTAAACTCTGTAGTTTAAAAGGGTTTAAGCCTATAGAAAAGTTAAAGCACTAGAACAGTGAATACTTATATATCCTTCATTTAGATGGAATATGTATTAGCATTTTGTGACGTATATTTTTCCTCACTTCTTCCTCTTTTATTTTTTAAAATTTTATTTATTTGAGAGACAGAGAGGCACAGACAGAAAATCAATATGGCTCCTGTTTGTTGATTCACCCCCTAAATGCCCACAGTGGCCAAGATTAGGTTGAGCTGAAGCCAGGAGCTGGGAACTCAGTCCAGGCTTCCCACGTGGGTGGCAGGTGCTTAACCACTTGAGTCATCACCTGCCTCCTCCTTGGGTGGGCATTAGCAGGAAGCTGGAATTGAAGTGGAGGTGTGACTTGGACTCGGGTACTCCTGTATGAGACGTGGGCACTGTGATTCAGTGTCCACTCTTTACTTTTTGTAGTTTTACATATACTTATTAGAACTTTATAGTTTACAGAATAAGTTCATGGGTTATATGCATAGGTTTTTGCTTTGACTAGGAAAAAAATCATGATATCGTGATTATAATGTTATGATTGCAGAAACAGAGTAGAGATTATTTTCAGATGTTATGATCTCAAAGATGGAGTTTAAGGTAATTGGAAGACCCTGAAAGTGTCTCCAGAGGACAGGTGGCTAGCTTCCCTTCTCATACTGGACCAAAGGACTGAGAAATCATTTAGTCTTTCATTTTAGTTTTCTTACTGAAATACAACCAAATTAGGTAGACCACCTAATATCTGGGAATGGAAATATTTATGAGGCAGGCTCATAGCAGTTCCTAAGTGTACACTTCTTTGATAGAGTGACAATGCTTGTCCCAACCTCAGACATTACTTTTCCCCCAAGAAATTGCCTGCCATCACCTCCCTTGCAGTAGAATGACTAATTATGAGCTGGAGCTTTAACAGTTTCATTATTTTGACACTGTGTACTTGGCAGGGTATAGGTACTTTACTTCTTCAGGTGTCCATATTTATCAAATGCAATGTAGGTGCCTTTATAATATTGAATATGTGACCTGTAACTCTTGTAATTTCTGTCAATAAAGCACAGGTGCTTAGTTAGAAGTCAGACTGGTTTTAGCAGTTTGTTACATGTTGAAGCTTACTAGAGTAATTTGAAGCAGTGAAGATTTGCCAAGAACACAGGGCCAGAGTTTTGCAGATGCTGTTCTGTGCTTTGCAGGAGTTCATCTTTAGTGAACTGCTTTACCTGTGTAAAGCAGGTGCCCCCAAGTTTCTGGTGTACAGTACAGATCAGCTCAAATGTTTGTTTCTTATCTCAAAGAGAAAGAGAAGGGGGTGATCCTAAGTGATTGTATGGTTCTAACTGCCTTTGTTGTTGGCAGTGGTAGCACTTGAACAGACTCTTTGAATGTGAGGGTGAATGAATGGGAGAGTGAAAGGCAAGGGTAGAAACAGGGAGGTGACAGGATCCTAATGCTGGGAGGTACCTGTGTGATGATATTAGTTCTGTGGATGCAGTGCGCTGTGTCATGGGCAGAAAGGCAGCTGTTGACTCCTGGCAGGTCCTGTTAACCAGATTTTTCTTTCCTTTTGAGGTTGTTTCCTCCCTCTCATCCTCTTCCTCTTTCTCCCTCCTTCCTCCTCCCCACTTTTCTTCTTTCGTCTTCCTCCCTTCTTCTACCTCTTCCTCCTCTTCCTTCTCTTCTTCCTCCTCTTCCACCTGTTCTACAAGTTAAGAAAAAGCTATGTTGGGTGTTAGTCCTATTCATAATTGTAGGGGCAGATATTTTGAGAGAACCTACTATCTCTAAACATTAAATTCTCAACCTTGGGTTTCCTTTACCAACCACAATATGTATTAATGCAGTGAATTCCAAGTAGCCCAATCTGTTGATTTCTTGTGCACGTTGTGTTGGGTTTCTGTTAATGAAACAGGAATTTGCCTTTGGAAAATTGCATTATAAATGTGCAGTGATAATTATTCCTTAGTGTTGCACAGTTTAATTCTGCAGTGGGAATAAAACAAGTTTAAAGAATTCAAGTTGATAAATACTTATTGACAGTTGACTATATATGTTGTGTAGCATGCCTGATGCTGGGGAATGCAAAAGGAAGAAAGCAGGACCTCTTTCTTGAGTGAAATTTTATTTTTTCAAATGCCTTTTAATGAGCACAAAAAGTAAAACAAGTTAAATGAGTAAAAACTGTATTTGAAATGCAAAAGTCGTTAGATGACTTTCTAAAGGATTATCCTCAATTTAAGGGCCATTACAATAAAAATTAATTTTAAGGTCATATTTTTAAAAGTGGTAGTTTTGCCATCACCATACAAATTATGTGCTGGTTTAAGGTTGTATTGGTGGCCGGCGCCGCGGCTCACTAGGCTAATCCTCCACCTAGCGGCGCCGGCACACCGGGTTCTAGTCCCGGTCGGGGCGCCGGATTCTGTCCCGGTTGCCCCTCTTCCAGGCCAGCCCTCTGCTGTGGCCAGGGAGTGCAGTGGAGGATGGCCCAGGTGCTTGGGCCCTGCACCCCATGGGAGACCAGGAAAAGCACCTGGCTCCTGGCTCCTGCCATCGGATCAGCGCGGTGTGCCGGCTGCAGCACGCCGGCCGCGGCGGCCATTGGAGGGTGAACCAACGGCAAAGGAAGACCTTTCTCTCTGTCTCTCTCTCTCACTGTCCACTCTGCCTGTCAAAAAAAAAAAAAAAAAAAAATAAGGTTGTATTGGTAGTCCTCAGAGTGTATTTCTTTAGCATTATTACCTGATCCACACATGAGTGGCATAATGTCTGGTTGTAAACGTGTGAACTCTTTATGAGAAAAAAGTTGGGCAAAACCAAGTTGGTTGACGTTTAACAAAATACATGACCAGGATTCTTGGCTCTCAAGGTCATCAGAAACAGGGAACATCTGAGGAAATGGTACTGCTAAGAGTGGGCTAAGGAGACAGGACAAGTCAATGTGATATGGTGTCTTGGGTGGAATTCTGGGACAGAAAAGTAGATTAGGTGAAAACTCAGGAAATCTGAATGAAGTGTGGAGTTTAGTTATAGTATATCCATATTGATTCATTAAATCTAACAAATGTGGGGCTGGCCTTGTGGCACAGTGGGTTAAGTTGCCACTTGTGACACTGGCATTCCATATAAGAGCATCAGTTTGAGTACTGACTGCTTTGCTTCTGATCCAGCTCTCTGCTAATGTGCCCGGGAAAGCAGCAGAAGATGGCACAAGTGTTTTGACACCCTACAACCCAAGTGGGAAACATCCAGATGGAGTTCTGGGCTCCTGGTTTTGGTTTTGGCTTTGACTTTTAAGTAATGAACCTTCCTCTGATGCATTGAATAAAGTTCAAAGTTGGCTCTAATTACCCTTGAAAGAGAATGCAAGGTAATTTAGAAATGCAAGAATATTTGTATATGCTTTTGCAAAGGGGACTTTTTCTGTTTTAGTCTCCAAAATAAACTCTGAGCCTCTGAGCGTTAGTGTGGAAAACATTCTGACTCATTTTTATTCATTTTTCTTAAATAAATCATACTCTCTTGATCTCACTTAGGATAGTTCCAACTTCCAAGTTAAATAACATTCTTAATCTCTTAGAAGTGAAGTTCAGTTATTTCTGAAACTGTTCTCTTTTTCACAAGTCCATTTCTGCTAGTGGTTAACCTTCTGGAAGGCACAAGTTGCCCCTGAAACTACAGTTAGGTCTGAGAACTGAGGGCTAATGCAAATGTGTTGAGACAATCTGTGTTTTGTTATAAATGATATCCATCCTGATGTTCTTTTCTGCTCGATTTATTTTGTGTCCTTAGGATATTACCACAGAACACAGCAATGTAAACCATATTCGAATCTTATCTTTTAGTGACTTTTGGCCAGAGGTTGAGTGCTCTAGGTTTTAAAGTATGGAATTACTTGTTCATCCATAAAATCAGAGGGTTGAGGAGGCTGGTGCTGTGGCACAGTGGGTTCAAGCCCTGACCTGAAGTGCTGGCATCCATATGGGTGTCGGTTCTAGTCCTGGCTGCTCCTTTTCCCATCCAGCTCTCTGCTATGGCCTGGGAAAGCAGTAGAAGACGGCCCAAGTCTTTGGGCCCCTGCACCCACCTGAGAGACCTGGAAAGAAGCTCTTGGCTCCTGGCTTCGAATCAGCGCAGCTCTGGCCATTGCGGCCATCTGGGGAGCGAACCAGCAGATGGAAGACCTCTCTCTCTGTCTCTACCTCTCTCTGTAACTCTGTCTTTCAAATAAATCTTTAAAAAAAATTATAGGGTTGATATTAACACATGTTCTTTTTCAACCATTAGCATATTAACATCTTTCCATGAACATATTTAAACATACTATATTTATATGATGTAATTGGTATAGCAGAGTATCTGGTTTTAGGGTGGGCATTTAGCCTATAAGTTAACATGACCACATCCCAAATCGGATATGGTTCAAACCCCAGCTTCACTTTGAATTCTAGTTCTCTGCTGATGTGTACCCTATGAAGTGGCGGTCATGGCTCAAGTAATTGGGTTCCTGGCACTCATGTGGGAGACCTGGATTGAGTTCCTGCCTCCCGACATGGCCATTGCAGATACTTGAGGAGTGAACTAGTAGATGAGAACTCTTTGTCTCTCTGCTTCTCAAAAAAGAAAAAAGAATATTAGGAAATAAGTCTGGTTTATCCAGTTTTGGGATACCTTTTTTCAGTATGACTGGAGGTAAGTATTTGGTATAGTTGAGAGGCTATTTGGGTTGCCCACCTCCATGTCAGAATGCCTATTTTGAGTCCAAGTTCCTCTGTTTCCAGTTTAGCTCCTGACTAATGTACACCCCAGGAGGCAGGAGGTGATTGCTCTCAAGTATGGCTCCTGCCACCCCATGGGAGACCCTTACTTGGTTTTTGGCTTCTGACTCTGGCAAATGGCTGTTGCAAGTATTTGAGGAGTAAGCCAGTAGATGGAGGGTCTCTGTTACTCTACCTTTCAAATAAAATGGAAAAAAGGAAAAAGAACATGGATAAACATGTATTTGTGCATTCACATAGCTCCCAAAAAACTCTGATGATAACTTTGTTCTTGGGGCTGAAAACTGGTTGCACTCCACAGTGTTCAGTTGTGATGGTTCGACTGAATTTTCCTCTTTTTCTTTTAATCTAAAATGTTACATTAGGCAAAGGTGGAGTTAGTCATGTACTACCTTTACCTTTCCTTTGGAATTATTGTTCATGTCTTAGCTTTCCCATTGTTGGAAATGTAGATAGAAATGATTGACAGGCTTACTGAACTTTCCAGAGCTTAAGATCAGCTTCTCTAGTCTTTGATTTGAAGTGACTGAGATTCTGTTGGGCTGTTTTTTTTTTTTTTTCTTTCCCTGTTTAAAAATTTGACATTAAAATGAAACCGACTAATTTGAACAAAAGATGTTTGTGATAAAAAAAAAAAGTAGTGGCCGGCGCCGTGGCTCACTAGGCTAATCCTCCGCCTAGCGGTGCCGGCACACCGGGTTCTAGTCCCGGTCGGGGCGCCGGATTCTGTCCCGGTTGCCCCTCTTCCAGGCCAGCCCTCTGCTGTGGCCAGGGAGTGCAGTGGAGGATGGCCCAGGTGCTTGGGCCCTGCACCCCATGGGAGACCAGGAGAAGTACCTGGCTCCTGCCATCAGATCAGCGCGGTGCGCCGACCGCGGCGGCCATTGGAGGGTGAACCAACGGCAAAAGGAAGACCTTTCTCTCTGTTTCTCTCTCTCATTGTCCACTCTGCCTGTCAAAAAAAAAAAAAAAAAAAAAAAAAGTAGCTTGGTTATATTTAATAAACCAGTTTTAATATAATTGAAATCAGATTATCTGATTTTGTGTCTTGCAGGTAATTCATAGTGATTGTTCATTGAAAAATACTCCTTCCTCTTTTCATGAGTAAGGTCTTTGATCTATAATTATCAGTCAAGGAAAACTTGATCTAATTTATTGTATTACTAGATGGATATGTGTTCTTACCAGTGAAAATATAATCAGTTGTGAACATTTTAAATGGAAAAAAAATCCCCAGAAAATTTGTTTTAAAGCCAAAAACACAGAATACTCAAGAGATAAAATTTTCTTTAAGAAAGTAAAATACTGTATGCTTTCATGTGCACTAAGTCTATATAAACATAAACTAGGCTTCATTCAGCAGTGAACACTTGACAGGCTCTATGCAGACATGGGAACAGAGATGATACTTTCAGAAAACTAAGTTTTGAATTACACTACTGTATTTAGCATAATGTATAATAATTATAACATCTTATACATTGTATTCAGTTATAAGTGGAATTAATGACATTTAATAAATGCAAAATAACTATTAAAATCCATGCAGAATCTTTTTAAAAAAATTTATTTGAAAGGGCTACAGAGAGTGAGATAGAGAAAATCTTCTGTCCACCACTTCACTCCCCAGATGACTGCTGTAGCCAGGTCTGAGTCAGGTCAAAGCCAGGAGCTTCTTCCAAGCACTTGGGCCATCTTATACTGCTTTCCTAGGCCATAGCAGAGAGCTGGATAGGAAGTGAAGCAGCCAGGACTCAAACCAGTACTCATATGGGATGCTGACGTCACAGGCAGCAGCTTTACCCACTACACCACAATGCCTGCCCCTGCAGAGTCTTAACATTACTATTTGTGTATCTTCTACTTTTAGGTTACCCTTCAGTTACTTCTTAAAATTGTTGATTCTCTATAACTGACCATCCTCTTTTATAGTCTGAATGAAAACACTTTTTTCTTTTAAAGATTTATTTATTTATTTATTTGTTTTTTGACAGGCAGAGTGGACAGTGAGAGAGAGAGACAGAGAGAAAGGTCTTCCTTTGCCGTTGGTTCACCCTCCAATGGCCGCCGCGGCTGGCGCGCTGCGGCCGGCGCACCGCGCTGATCCGATGGCAGGAACCAGGAGCCAGGAGCCAGGTGCTTTTCCTGGTAAAGTCAGAGTTACACCAAGAGAGAAGGAGAGGCAGAGAGAGAGGAGATCTTCCATCACTGGTTCATTCCCCAGATGGCTGCAATGGCTGGAGCTGTGCCAATCTGAAGCCAGGAGCTTCATGCGGGTGCAGGGGCTCAAGGACTTGGACCATCTTCTGCTGCTTTCCCAAGCCATAGCAGAGAGCTGGATCAGAAGTTAGAGCAGCCGGTCTGGTACCAGCGCCATATGGGATGCCGGCACTGCAGGTGGAGGCTTTACCTGCTACACCACAGCGCTGGCCCCATACACTAATTTATGGTTTTAGGACTCTGCATTTGAGTGACAACTCATTTTTCTCCTTCCAAGCTTTCCTCATGAGTTTGTCATATGCTGTGTTAGACTGAGGCTCAGGCTCCTCATCCTGCACTAGATCAGCTTTCTAGTTCTCACAGTGGTCCCTTGGAGAGATTCTGGGTTCCTGTGTTGTAAAAATTTAATGACATGGAATTGGGTATACAAGACAAAGAGAGGCTGTGGCAGAACTTCAAATGCGTATACTAGAACTTGGATATACTCAGACTCGAAAACTTGTGTGCCTTGAACCTGATTTTTGATAGTAGTTACCCCTTGGGAATTATGTTCCAAGTCCCCAGTGTATGCCTGAAATTATGGATGGTGTTTTTTCCTTTTCCTTAGACTTATTTATTTGAAAGGCAGAGTTACAGAGAGAGACGGAAAGGCATCTTCCATCTGCTGGTTCACTCCCCATATGAACACAAACACTGAGATAAACTTACAGTTGATCTGATAGCTTAGATGGCTACTGAGTGATTAATGGGTTGGTAGTGTATACAGTTGTCCCCTACTATTTGGGGAGTTGGGTACAGAACCTCCTCTTGTACCAAAATTTGTGGGTACTCAAGTCTCTTATATAAAATGGCATAGTGTTTGTATATAACCTATGCATATGCTCCCATATACTTCAAATAATCCTCTGGTTACTTAAAGTATCTAATATAATGTAGATGATATGTAAGTAGTTACTATATTGTAGTGCTTAGGGAATAATGACAGGAGCAACGTCTATACATGTGCAGTACAGACATAATTTTAAAAAATTTTTGTTTGACTTGATCTACTGATTCACTTCCTGACTGTCTGCAACAGCTGATGCTAGGCCATGTTGAAGCCAGGAGCCTGCAACTCAATCTGAGTCTCCCACATGAGTGGCAGGGACTCAGGTGCTTTGGGCCGTCACCTACTACCTTGCAGGGTGTATATTAGCAGGAAGCCAGAATCAGAAGTAGATCCAGGACTTGACCAGACATCCCATGTGGGATGAAGGCATCCTAAGTGATGACTGAACTGCTGTGTCAAACACTTACCTCCTGACATTTTAAAAAAGATGTTTTGATCCATGGTTCTTCGAATCCACAGATGTGTGTACTGCTGCCCTGGGCCAGCTGTACTTTGTGGATGTGCTAGACGATGTTATGAGAGTTTATGATGCTACTCAGAATGGCTTGCAGTTTAAAACTTGAGAATTGTTTATTTCTGGAGTTTTGCATTTAGTGTTTTTGGACTATGACCTCAGGTAACTGAAACCATGCCATGCAAAAGAGGACTCTCAGCTCCAGCACATCAGCTCACAGCATTATTTTGCCTGCTCTGGTGATGTGACCAGTAATCCTCTTTTGTGAAATTTTTTATCCCCTCCTTTTCCTTTTTTATTTTGTACTTGTTGGGACTGTTTTGGGACAGCAGTGTTTCGATAAAAACAACGCACTATTATAAATGTACAGGACTTTTTTTATTAACAAGAAAAAGCAGGTGTTTGTTCAGATGATACTAAATGTCACAAGTTTTTCATTTGTACTTTTGATCCTGTCCTTTCTAAATTTTGAGTATTTAAATGTGCACCATATAAATTTTGACATTTAAACTTAAAATTTTAGCTCAGTACATGATACAATTGTAGACTGGGGATACTATGTAAAAATGAAATCCAGAGATAACTCTCAACGTTTTAACCATTTACTATTATATAATTAAGTGTATTATCATTAATACTATTTTTAAACATTTAATATTAAAACCATTGTCTCTGCCTCTGACATCAGACCGGGTGAGAGAGTGACAGTTATTTTGTGGGGTGCAATCAGTAATCAGCCAGGGCTTGTGTAGACCCTGTAAGGAACAGTCCTCAATCTGGAAAACCATTATGATCTCTTCCAACTCTAAAAACTGGTGATTTCCTTGATGTTACAGATTTGTTGATGTATGTGTGGGTAGTGGAATACTCAGTGTATAACAATAAGTGATGGGCAATCTTCAGCGAGATAATCAGCTTATGAAAAAGTAGAGTTGAGGTTTTTATTTGAGCAGGATCAAAAATGAGAGTTTGCTCAACAGATTTGTGGAGAATCCATGATAATTTCTTCCGTGCCATTTCAAATCCCAGGAGCTCCACATGGGATGGTTTTATTTTGGGCTCTGTTCTGGATGTATTCTATATATTTGCTCTCAGTGTAAATCTAAGCATGTTTTTAAGAAGAGTATTAAAGTCTCAAGAGTTGGACTTTAATATCTTTACCAAAAGTTGGCAGACATTGACAGATGGTTTGAAAGGATCATTCTTTACAATCAAATTTTAAATTCCTTTTAGTCCCAGTATATAAAATGAGTAAAGGTGTGCCTTATTATATTGCCACTAAGAATTAACAGTTGATTACCACCTCACTTTTTTAGATCAGAATCAGTGTTGTAGAAGGAGCTCTTAAAATTAACAAGTCTCTATTCTTTCTTCTTTCAGTTTTCAGCTCTTGGGCAAGTTATTTACTTGAGGGACAGCCTACCTATTGGCAGGTTGATAGTAAAATGATACACTGTATATTAAAATACTTTGAAAATAAAATTTAAAAAAATCTATGGCCATGGTATTGTTACAAAGTCATCTTATGCTTAGGGAGGAAGAAAAGTCCAGTAGTTGAAAATAATTTATTAAACCAGTTTATTCACTCTTCTGTTTTAGAATTAACAGAGTTGAGATCTGCCTCACATAGCTATTAAGTTGCAGATTCAGGACTATAACCTGTGTCTTCTGGTCAATGTGATTACTCTTCTACACACTCAAAATTAGTTATGTGCTCTTCCTTGTCTTTCCCTTAAAAGAAAAAAAATGGAAGTAAGCAAGGAGGAAAGGAAAGTACTGAGAAAAACTGATTTTATACCCTTATATATTTTTTATTCTTATTTTAAGAACTATTTTATTTGAAAGGTTAAAGAGACAGACACTTATCTCCCATCCTCTGGTTCAATCCCAGATACCTGCAACAGCTGGCACTGAGCCAGGGTGAAGTCAGAAGCTGAGAACTCAGTCCAGGTCTTTCATGTGGGTGGCAGGGACCCAACTATTTGAGTTACCATCTGCTGCCTCAAAAGGTGCATATTAACAGGAAGCTGGAATGGGGAGCAGAACCAGAACTTGAACCCATGCACTCAGATATGGGATGTGGGCATCCCAAGTGGTGCCTTAACAAGACGAAAAACAGGTTTCTGGAATAAGGATAATGAAGTCACTGAAGTAAAAAACGAATCTTAAATTTTAACAGGCCAGTTTAATTAAATTTGGCACTCTGCTCTCTTGTGTTGGAAATTTCTTTATCTGTCTCCACCCCTACCCCTGATTTATTTGTTTATTTGAAAGGCAGAGTTACTGAGACAAAGGGGAAGAGGGAGGGAGGGAGGCAGGGAGGCAGGGAGAGAGATTTCCATCCACTGGTTCATTCCCCAGATGGCTGTAACAGCTGGGGTGGCGGCTTAATCTCCTGCTCCATAACGCTGGCACCTTGAAAATTTCTTAAGGCTGAGGCCATTTTAGGGTTATGTATAGTATCCAACAGAGGGGCTAGGGTTGTGGCATAGCTGGTGAGGCTGCCACCTGCAGTGCCAGCATTATCATATGGGCGCTGGTTCGAGACCTGGCTGCTCTACTTCCAATCTGGCTCTCTGCTGTGGCATGGGAAAGCAGTGGAGGATGGCCCAAGTCTTTGGGCCCCTGTACCAGTTTGGGAGAACTGGAGGAGGTTCTTGGCTCCTGGCTTTGGATCGATGTAACTCTGGCCGTTTTGGCCAATTGGAGGGTGAACCAGCGGATGGAGGACCTCTCTCTACCTCTGCCTCTTCTCTCTGTGTAACTCTGACTTTCAAATAAATAAATCTTAAAAAAAAAAAAAAAAAAGCCAGCGCCGCGGCTCACTAGGCTAATCCTCCGTCTATGGTGCCAGCACCCTGGGTTCTAGTCCTGGTTGGGGCGCCAGATTCTGTCCCAGTTGCTCCTCTTCCAGTCCAGCTCTCTACTGTGGCCCAGGAAGGCAGTGGAAGATGGCCCAAGTGCTTGGGCCCTGCACCCGCATGGGAGACCAGGAGGAAGCACCTGGCTCCTGGCTTCGGATTGGTGCAGCGCACCTGCCACAGCGGCCATTTGTGGGGGTGAACCAACGGAAAAAGGAGGACCTTTCTCTCTCTGTCTCTCTCTCTTACTGTCTAACCCTGCCTGTCAAAAAAAAAAAAAAAAAGAAAAAGGAACCCAATAAAAGCAATATAATTTTCCTTAGTTCTAAGTAATGACCATGTGTATTTTCAGCATATGAGGTAGAATTATTTACTGTGAAAAGTAAAAGATAGTATTGACAAAATCTACCTTTCTCAAAACACCATTGAAATCAGAGTAACTTTGCTTCTTTTGCCAGTAGCAACAAATAAATAGATTTCCATTTACACCATTAAGTATTCACTTTTTTGGTAATGGTAGATTTTTTAAAAATCTTCTAAATCACTATGAAATTATTTCATTCCATGAAGTTAATGAAATATAACTTGTCAACAGAAACGTAACTTTTTATCAGTATTCTAAAACATTTTAAAAAGGAATTCAAAATATTACTATGGTTTTCTAGTTCTTTACTGTGGATGAGATAAAAGAGACTACTTGTGTGTTGTCAGTCTGCACTGAATTGAATATTTGGTTCAGAGGACTTGAGCATATAGGATGAGTATGAATATCTGCCAGATTCATTAAGCCTATCATTCTAGTCCTTCTGAAATCCCCTTAAAAAGGTCTTAATTAGGTAATTGGAGCTAACTGAACCAGAGTGTTCTCATGGTCTGCTAAATGGACTTCGATGATCATGGTGTAGCTCTGATACTTTGAAAACATACATCTTCATTACATACATTCATTATATACATCTTCATCACACACACACACACACACACACACACACACACTCAGGCCATTTTTACTTTATTTTCTGGTGGTGACAGCTTCAGTATGCATCCTGCCCCAGAGAAAGGTCATCAACTTCCTGACATGACACGTAGTATATAGGTTATATACACGGAGGCATTTGGCAGGGGCTGCAGGGAGGAGTTGGGAGAGAAAGTGAGTTTAATGGACTTGAGGTACTTTTTAATAACAAAAGATGTAAGCTAAATGGACCAGCTGTTGTGTGTCTCTACATTTGCTGTTATAAAATGTGTAATGGTGAGAAATTTCACACTAATATTACTTCACACTAAATAATTATAATTCTTTTTAATATAGAACATGTGAAATTTGCCAACTTAAGAAAGGCTGCCTTTTCTAGTTAAAATATAAATTTAACTTTCTGAAACTGCTCTTCTGAGTGCCGTTGTCATTTGTTATTAATGCAAGATAAACTGCACTCAGTTAAAACATAGCTTCTTTTCTGTTATGAATAATACAGAGTTTGAAACACACCTACATGCCTTCCCTCAGAGCACAAAAATTTGTACCTAACACTGACTTGTGCTTGCTGAGGCTTACAGAGGAGAGGAAGAGGTTTAGAAAGAAAAAATATGGATTCCTTGAAATCACAGGCTATCAAAGTTTCTAGAAGTTTGGAAATTGCTACGTTTCATGTGTCTCGATATTGTAACACTCCCTCTCATCCCCAGCTCGGGTGAGTCAGCACAGTTCTGTTTGTAGATTAAGTCAACCTGGGAATTGTTGGGGGGGGGGGGTTAAGAAGAGACCACAAGTGATTCTAACTGCTCCTGTACATACAGTACCCCTTTGAGAGTCCAGAGGCATAGGGAAATTTTGGATGGCATTAAACAGTTGAAATTTTTTGCAAAGAAAGTGACCAACATAGAATTTTCATTCAGTTGGCTACTTAAAAGGAAGGTCACCAACATACAGTTAACAAAAATTACAAGAAACATGTAGCAGTGTAGAGTATAATTAGCTTCATGAAAAACTGATGTTGTCCTTACTCTTCTCACCTGACTATATAAATTTCATCACTCAGTTTGTGCCCCAGTAATTCCAGTTAGGAATTACTAATTGAGTGATCATATTAACTTAAATAATAACATAAAGCTTTAACATTTAAAACTATGATGTTGGCCTGAATCTGCTCTTAGTTGATTCTTGCCTGATGAGAGGCACTGCTGCAGATGTGCTATGTTAGCATCATTTGAGGCCGGCTGGAAATGCAGAATCTCGGGTCCCACCCCAGACCAAATGAATCAGAATTTGCATTGGTGGGCATTGTGCTGCAGTGGGTTAAGCTGCCACCTGCAATGCCAGCATCCCACTTTGCAGTGCCAGTGCCTGGCTGCTCCAGTTATGCTCCAGCTTCCTGCTAATGCCCCTGGAAAAGCAGTGGAGGGATGGCCCAAGTAAATGGGCCCGCCACCTATGTGTGAGAACAGTTCTTGGCTCTTGGTTTTGACCTGGCCCAGTCCTGGCTGTTGCAGCCATCTGGGAAGTGAACCAGTGGATGGAAGATCTGTTTTTATCTGTGTTTCTCTCTTCCTATCTCTCTGTCACTCTGCCTTTCAAATAAAGATAAATAAATTTTTAAAAAGAAAAATCCTGCAGCTGATTCACATGCATGGCAGATTTGAGATACTGATTTAGGGGGGACTTTTTTGAAAGCAGCATGAGTTTCAATTAAATAACTCTCACATAGCCTTTGACTTAATCTAATTAACAAGTGTTCTGGAAGCAGCATTATTAAAGGAAATGGGTTTAAAATAACAATTAAGACTAGCCTAAAAATATAGTATAGAGAGGCCTTGAGACCTACATTCATGATATCAGGACTTATAATTAGCTTATCATTATAAATTACTGCATCTAAAGGAATTAGGAGCTTTTTTTAGGTTTATCTTTTTCAGGCTTGATTTTATTTTTAGGAAAATCCAGGTAAAATCACAGAGAAACTTTTTTAAAGCGGTAAGATATTTATGTCACAAAATTTGAACTAAACAATTAACAAGTAGTACAATTTTGGAATAAAAATGAAGACAAAAGTTGGAAACCACCTTAGAAGTCATCCCCTCCACTCCCTACCCCAGCCAGTTTGAGATCCCTGTTAGTTAAGAGCAAGAACTTTGAACTTGAGAGCTTCAGGGTACATGTCTATCCATTAATTCTCTGGCCCTGTCTCCCTACCTTTCATGTACCTCTTATTTTTTCTCTTTCCTCCCCCATCTCAGCCCAAATTGTTTGACCATCAGACAGTTTAAATTTAAATTTCTTGGGGACAGTACCAAGACAAAACATCTAGTCAAAAACTTTAGCTCAATTTTAAGACCCAGTTGAAGGGCACAGATTTGTCTTGTTCAGTGTGATATGATCTGTGAAAATCACAATAGAATTTCCACTAATAGATATTTACATACAAAATTATTCCTTTATGCTTGCATCTAGGGTTCAGAGGTTTAAATCCTCTTGTAATTAATTAAGAATCCCCTTGATGTTTGCCTGCAGTTCAGACTGATTCTTACTCTTGTGCTAGAATTGGTTCCTTTGCACGCCTGTGTTATCAGTAATAAGTAGCTGAGTTGCCTCTAAAGGGGAAAAGTGAATGATTGGAGAACCATAGCAAAGGAGGTATTCGTTGTATACCTTTTAGTGCCTTTGAAATTTTGTGCGCTTTGTTGAATATATTACTAATCAAATAAATAGATAAATCTAAAGAAAAAAATTTCTGAATCTTCCTCATTGAGAGTGTGTGATGTCTGATGGCAAGCAGTGTTTTGTGAAAGGGGATAAATTTAGTAGGTTTGGATTGCATCATTAACACAGGACAAATGCTTTTGGCCTCATTTCCTACTGATATCCTGGATTTTTCCTCCTTTTGCCTTAGCAGCAAGAAACTTCCACAGTACTACTAGATACCAGGTTTTAAAAGAAGCAGTGTTTATTTTCTGTCCTGCAATCTTCAGTCTGAATATCTGAAGATGGTTATTTTGGGAGAGACATAACGATCTTGTGAATCTCCCTCATACATGCTAGTTTCCAGTTTAGCCAAAACTGCATTCTCTTACAGGATACTGACACAACTTAAACTATGTAGCCTTTATCCAGATTTTGTTTGGAAAGTGGCTGTGGTTTACTGTTTCCACAGGAGTTTCTCAGGAAATTCCTGGGCCAGATTAGCTCTTCTTTTTCTATTCGTGTACCTGTAAGAGACCTTTCTGTTTCAATCTGGACAAGTTTTGAGAGGGCAGATGTTCTGACTGGGAGGTAGTTATCAGTGCCTTTGAAGTTACAGTATGTAATTAGTTCCAAGAATAACAGGTTGCAGTTACCTTCTCTGAAATTTGGAATTCATTACTTGTTTTGGCTTTGCTAATGAAAGGAGAATGTTGGCAGCAGTAGAGAAGAAACAGAGGTTTGCTTTGTTTCCTTTCTGTCAGGTAACTGGCCAGAAGGATCCAGGCTGCTTTGGAATCCTAATAAGCATTAGTACAGTACTTTAACTGGGATCATGAAAATGTATCTTACATAATAGCTGTGTTTCATTAGATTAACTCGGGTTTGGTGGTGTGCCGTTTGCTTTCATGTGCAGCTGTTGGTCCTTTCATGCCTTCGTTAGGCCTTCATTGGGAATGGAGTAATGACAGATTGAGGAAAGTTATAACTTTGTCAATTTAGCTGAACTTTTCTGTAAATATTTTGTATGCAGGATATAGAAGTCAGCTGATGAATGCCAGTTGCAGGGTCACATTTTAACATAGATGTTCCCATAGGACTATGCTTTATGTATCTAATAGTTTGTGATCCTTTCAGAACTCTGAAAAGATTATGGATCTGTAATTTATTGGTCCCCTCTGATAAGATCTCTAACTTGATAGCAAAGTCTTACCTTACCAGTTGATTTAACTATGAATGTGAATGCTGTTATTGGTCTATTGGGTGTGCCC